CCAAACATCACTATTACCAATTTACAATAGTAAATTATAATTTTCATTCTTAGAAATTACATTTGTATTTATAATAATCATTATATAACACATATCTCGATATCAATAATTTTAAATCCGCTGGTGCGGGAAGTTATATAAAAGTGGTGAGAGACGGATCAGTGAGCTGTAGAAACGGTTCATAGAGGACACGTGGCGATGCGTTACTGGACGAGTTTTTTTTATTTTTGCCAAAAAAAAAATTTCATATGATGAATTTTCTTCTCTCTCTTGTGTTCGTCGGCGTTTTGGGAGGATTCTGCAATCATCGCCAAAGCAGCTGCGATACTTTCAATCTCTCTCTCAATCGTCGTCCTATTCCTCTATGTTCTGCTTTTCGATTTCTCCGATTTTGGTCATAAACCCTAAAAATTCTCACTTTTTCTCGATTTTTGGTAGATTCGGCTTCGTCTACGTTCCGAGCTTGAATTTCTACCACTGGTTCCGGGCTGAATTTCCTTGATTCCATGTCGTTCGATACTGTCTCCTTCGAGGAGCTTCTGGGTCACTGTAATCAGATCTATAGAAACAACCAAGACGAAATTCTGCAGCTTCAAGATCAACTTACAGATTTTGGCTATGTTCCTGGTACTCTATTCCTTTTTCCAATTTTGAAAAGCTGAGCTTCTGATTGTTGGGTTTTTGGAATTTTAGAAAATGGAAATGTAGGACTTTCCAAGTTTTATCTCAGATTACTTTCATGGTTTTTTGTTGGACTTTAGAAATTGAGATTGATGAAGGTAGAGATGAGGAGGTCTGAAGTTGGACAATTTGGTCATGGGTATTCAAATCCTTGGATACGTTCAGTGTGAGTCTCGAATCCGGATTGATTCGAATCACACCAAAAGATTAATATTCAGATTAATGTGAGTCTCGAATCCAGATTGATTCGGATCACACCAAGAGATTAATATGCAGAAAATGTTTAATCGAGTCTAGATGAACAAAGCGATATAATTGACGAATTGCTGTAAAACAAAGAATCGTATTTGTTCTTATTGAGTATTGCTGGTGTTTTTGAGAATACAGAATGAATCCTTTTATTTCTCCTTTTCCCCTTGGTTTTATACCTCCTTCCTGAAAACCCTCGGTCCCTTACTCAATTAATTCGCCACAATCAATTCGGTCGTTACGGATCAGGCTGATTCAAATTCTTCTCCAAGAAACAGTCGAAATGGGCTCCACTTCAATCCTCATTAATAGCTGAATTGATTCTCAACATAATTACTCGGTCTTCTCCTCTCTGGGCCGCAATGGCTGAATAGTCTTATTGGGCCGTAATGGCGTAATGTCCAGGTGATCGGATTGGGTATTAAAAACCAATGCGAACAGCCGTAATGGCCGAATAGTCTTATTGGGCCGTAATGGCGTAATGTCCAGGTGATCGGATTGGGTATTAAAAACCAATGCCAACAGCCGTAATGGCCGAATAGTCTTATTGAGCCGTAATGACGTAATGTCCAGGTGATCGGATTGGGTATTAAAAACCAATGCCAACAGTTTGCCCCCCAAGTCTTGCAAGTTATGAAGTTTACTTGGAAGACTTAAGAAAATTATGGACATAAATGCTCAGATATTTTCATGATTTGAATCATTTATTGCAAAATGGTGAGCTTGTTTACATAATTCGAGACGGACTCGATAAAAATGATGTGCTTGTAACTCTTCGCATAATTCGAGACGGACTCGATAAAAATGATGAGCTTGTAGCTCTTTGCATAATTCGAGACGGACTCGATAGAAATGCTGAGCTTGTAGCTCTT